CGGCGAGAACCTACCGTTTGGGAAAAAAAGGTGTACGAAAAGAAACAGAGAGCCGGGTATCACAAACACACGAGATAAAACACGTGTGCGTGAAGTTTAGGCTCGGCGTGTCTCTTTCCTCTCTCTTCGTTCTACGTGCTCGCGTTAAGATTATACGGTGGACAACAGGTGAGGACGCGAGAACGGATCTCTGGTGGGATAAGGTTTGAGGGTCACACGCCGTTTTGCTCGCAGAAGGAAGGTCCATGACTGAAAAGCCAACCGGTCCTCTCCGTGACATCGGAGACCCTCTCTCTCTCTCTCTCTCTCTCTCTCTCTCTTTTTGTCAGGTGACTCGCAGGAAACTGGCGATGTGTGTACCTCTACCCACTTCGCCCCTGTTCGTTCGTCAGATTTCCTCTTTGATTTCCGCGTCGCGAGGCGACGTTTCCTTCCGATCGATCCTCGACATAGATCGACCGGTATTGGTAACGACGGTGACGGGGCCAGGGACCTTCGAGTCGAATGGAAACCAAGTCCTTGGGAAGTACCATTCTCGATGGACTTGTGGTATTCAGCCGTGGCGTGCTTCCTTTTGGCGAACAACGGCTGTACACAGTTTCACATATATTAGGGGTACCCATAAGTAATCAATTATTTTCTCAAGACCTTATTTCTCATTGGTTCTGTAACAACCGGACAAGTGTAAGCACAAATTTTTTTAGTGTTATTCTTCAACCAGCTTGTTAGCAATTTATTCCCATCAATATAATTTTTTCTTATAGCTCTGCAACAAAATGTGTTGTACCTTCTGAAAGCCATATTCGTAATTGTGTACTTTTTCATTTTCACGCCGGATTTAGTGCAACAGAAACAACTAGGTAAATTTGTGATACATACGGAGATGTGTTGAAGATTTGCTGCTAGTGATTAGGACTTGTCAGACAAGCATCGAAGTGGACGCCCAGTTCAATTCGATAATGAATTTCAGACTTTCACAAAAGGGGGATTGAATTATATAATCGATTAAAAAATAAAAATGTTATTTGAAAAACAAATTTTGTCTGTGAATGCAAAATAATTGATTACTTATGGGTATCCCTAATATATAGAAACGATATTGGTGTAGAGCATACGTTCCCGATTGTTGGGCGCTACCGCTGCTAAAGATTCAAAGATCAAACGTACAACCACACTTGGAAATTTTTATGGTGGAGATAAGTCCACAAACGAAACGCTGAATGAAAAAGAAACTTTGAAATAGGGGGGCAAAAGCCAAGAATAGTTGGGAAACTGAACGATTAATGTTAAACTTTTTCAGAACTTGGTTTTACTATTATGCTAGGAGACCACCGAGGTCTTTGAGTCGTTGATGTGGGGCATCAGCCAAAAAAGGTTGTGAAACTATGGTCTAGAATAAGTACACTAACTCATACATTTCTATAGCACTGTCCATAGCTATAGACGAGTGAGTCAAATATACATCTGCCTAAATTAGCTCCACGATAAAATAATCCGAATGATCTCGAGGAACTTGATCTTTCAACCACAATCACGTCGTTCCGACGATTGTCTGTGGCACCTCGATCTCTCCTGTAGCCCCAGGGTCTGTCCTTCGGGGTGTACCTGTTCGCCGTACACATACAGGGTGTCTCAGCTAACCTGATCACCTCGAATAATAACTTAACGATACACTTTATGAAAATTCGTAGGTCTGGGTTAGGTTACAAAATAATTTTTAATACGTACTTACTCTCTGAAAGATATAGGTGCTCGAACTGATGCCCCTCAACTTCAATACAGTCATTGTTTTGTAAATACCTCGTTAACTATTAGGTTCACAAAGTATGAAGGTCAACACATTTTTACTCAGAATTTGATCCTCTATCGATCTATACTACCAAAAATAGGTCAATCCGTTAAAAAAAACCACAGTGACCTTGAAATCACTGAAATACCTCCACCCACAAAAAAAAAACAGGCGCCTTATAAGATGTGCCCCTTGATGCCATTTAAGTTCTACGCCTAAAAATTTCCATAAAGTGAATCGTTAAGTCATTAATCGAGGTGATGAAGTTAGCTGAGACACCCTGTATATCAGCCCTTCCATTTCGAATGTCCCGCTTCTTTATACCTCGTTACCGCTTTATTCTTACCAGACGTGTTGATGGTCGAGGTATTCGACGGTACGCGGAAACGTTTCGGCTCAAGTTCGACGGTGTATATTTCGGATGTCGTTTCCGACGAGCGAGAAGAATAAGAAGACGAGGCGGAGACGTCGTGAAAGAGAGAGAGGGAAAGGATTCATCGTGATTTTATTTTGCATGCAGACCGTCTGATCGTTTAACGATCCTGTTCCTTCGAGCGCACGCGTTCGTGACGCAAAAGCAAATCCATTGTAATACATATGGCGGACGGGGGCAGAGCGAAGAGCCTGCAACGATAAATGAAAAGTCAATGAGCTTGTCCATCGGCACCGTGTCCACGGTCACGTAGCCAATAGGGACGACGTCGTCGTTGGGTTTCTTCTTGTCTTTCGAGACTGTTCGTTCAGGGTCTAATCCGTAAACAAAGCTTTCGCCTCGTAATCCTCTTATCTTCTTCTTCCTCTTCGATGCATTACAACGTACTTTCAGTTTGCAACCGAAACCTGATTACTGTTCGTCGACAATACTTACCTTAAAAGTTTCGATAACTGCTCGAATGGGTCCGATCGATCGCCCCAAATTGGCTGACAAGGAAGGTTTCCCAACCCGGAGACGCCGATTTCAATGAAACTTCGTACGTCTGTTAAGCAAGCAAAAATAAGGGACACGTATTTTTTTTTTTTATCAGATAACATTCACTTTAAGGGGATGAAACCACCCCTCGAAGTTTCGATTCAGAAATACTATCTCGAAAACCAGAGGAGATACATGAAAACTTCTAATTGGCGAGTTTTATGGTTTTTCATGTACAATCTTTTAGCACCATATTATACCTTCCTTGTGAGTCTGAATTTCCGTCGAACTGTATTATTAACAGCTGGGACAAATCCTAGTAATCCTCTCATGATCTTCGTCATATTCGATGCATTATACCGTATTCTGCATCCGCAATCTACGTGATTACTGTTCGTGGCCTGCACCCATTAGAAGAAAAGTTTCGATAACTGTTCGAATGGGTCTAATCGATCGCCCCAATTGGCTGAGTCTGAATTTCAGTCACTCTGTTGAACTGTATTATTCAGTTCCCTTCCTTTCATCCTGTCGAGTTTCCTTCAAATTGCGACCAATGCAAATCTGTCGCGACGGAACGACCGATCGAGTCGAACTTCGTTAAATCCTTGAGCAACGTCGGGGATCGTCACAATTAAATTGATATGATCTAGATTCCCTGTGGATCACGTGGACAGATATATTGTCCGGTGATCCCTATCGAGCCTTAGGTCATCACACGCAAATTAGACAGGCTCCTCGTGTCCGCGATTCAACTCTGCAAATATTGGTGAAACTTCTCGCAGCTGAGACGTCGTCAATAGCGAGTCGACAGCGAAATCTCAGATTCGTCGGCTAAAGACCAATCCATCGATCGTTCGTTGCGATTCTTAAAACATTTTGTACAGGTATTTTTTTTTTTTTTTTTTTTTTTTTTACCCCAGACCGTTTCAAAAGGAGCTCTCTCGACGCGTTACCTGCCACTGCCAAGTGTCAATGGTAATGCAACGAAGGTCAATTAACGCGAAGATCCGATTCAATTTGCATAAATCAGTGCCATAGAAAGTCGTCTGCTCCAATTCGAATGAACGTACACGCGACAAGGAAACACTTCCGGGAAAATTGTTCGAGCGATTCTACGATCGGAAGGGCATTCCCTTGGATCGTGTACGATCGAATCGATCGACTCGTTTCTGGATGGATCGTGATTTACGATTTTTTAAAAGCTTCCAACGCCTAGAGGACTACTACCGACGTGACACACAGAGACGCGTCCATCGTAGATTTATAGGCCGTTATTATTGTGTTATTTACGGACGTTAAAAACGTATCGTGGCGAAGGTTATAACGCACCGTTATCGTTTAACACGTTGACCTCCACGTGACGAATTCCCTGTCAGGGACCGTCTAATTTTGCTTGTTAGAATTGAAATTACTTTTTCTCTTTCCCCTGAATACTTCTGAATACTTCTTCTTAACCTATGACTAATAAAACCCAATGCAAACTACGAATCTCCTATTAATTATCTCAAACACAGTAGCACAGAATGCACTAAAGCGAATTCGTAATTACGATGCGATAATCGTCGAGTAGCTTCTGATTCGGACTGTTAATGTCTCCTGTCCTCGATTCCGGTCGATAGTTCCGTCTCAATTAAAATCCACCGGTTAACCCTTTAACGCCCAGTGTTACACTAATCGAATGTTAATATGACATATATTTCAATAATTCCCGAAACCAAACCGCAGGAGGTCCTACGTCACTTTTTCCCCTAGTGAAAGCCGAGTTTGCTCGCGAGTCTACACCGTTCGAAAGTGTTTAAAAACCAAGTGTCTTCCTTTATTTCTTTTTGCAATAGTTCGGATTTTACGAAATACACATTTTGAAGGGGAAGATCCAAGAAATCGAATGGAGTTTCTTAATCGATTGGACGCTACGTCTTTAGGGGTGAAGGACAGTAGGGGAAGTCTCGAGGACTGTCCACGTCATCGCGTTCTCGCGCCCGGTTCCCTGTTATCAGACAAAAGCGTTCAGCTCGACGTATTAACAGTCCGTCCGCGTAGACAATATACATATTGTTCCGACGAAAAGTAACCGCAAGGTCGACGAAGGCGATACACGTGAACGGCCCAATGCAGCGGGAATATTAAATGCCAGCGCGTGAATGGCTAACGACACTTCCACGTTCTGGTGTATCCATCGGTTGTTTACGACGATCTCGCGGCGACAAGCCAGAAATTTCAAATCACGAATCGTGGATCTCCACGAACAGCCTGCAACAACATCGATCCCGTCTAACAGATCGTTAACGGTTCTCGTTTCAGGTGCCTATGAACGAGACGGAGTTTAACATCCTCTGGATGGGGAACCATCCGAAACCGGACATCCTTCGGAACCTGATGCCCCATCAGAAAATGAATCATTTCCCTAGGTAGACATAAATATTCGATCTTACGTAAGATTCATCTTGTTCGATCATTCGGAATGAAAAGTCTTAGGTTCGCTGCCGTGCTAACTACTCGCATGGGAACATTTCGCCCCGCGTCTCTGGGTGAACACGTCGAGAATTTTGTTGCAGCTCCGCCAGGGGCCAGAGTTGGGCGAAATGTAATCTAATTACTGGACCGCGGATTTGGTATGCAAAATAACATTTTCTAAAGTAATTTATAAAGAGGCGCAAATGTAGAAATTTGTTTCTCCTCTTAAGTATCTTATTGGGTTCAGAGTAAAATAGAAAACTCATTGGATCCGATGAAAGTTTTTGTGTTTTATTGTATTTCACAGAGTTTTATGGGTTACAAATGCATAAAATCCGCAGTCTACTAATTACAACATCCGAATCACAAGGATTGCACACACACTTTCCAAGACAATTACAATTGTACATTGTACACATTACATTGTAATTAACTATACTAAATTTCTAAGAAAAATGATGATACAATTGTAAAATTACAGTGTAATTGCAATTTAGATTTTCTAATTAGATGACATTTCGCCCGACCTTGTTCAGGACCCAACCCTGGAGGGTAGTATAGCTTGTTTGAAGTACGAATATTTCTTCTTCGCGGTCGGTTGAATTCGCCGGTGAAGGTTTGAACAGCATGGATATGTATTCCATTAATCATTCGAGGGCCGACCTGATTCCCAGATGTTCATTTTTCCTATTTCGTAGAGCTCAACAGTACCTTGGCTGCGTTACAGGTCGTACGAAATCACACGGAAGGATCGTCTGTACAAGAACATCGAGGCGATGCAACGCAGCAAAGGTCTGCGGAACCTGGACTTCATACCCCAAACGTTTCTGTTGCCGAACGAGTCCAGGGAGTTGCTCACCGCGCATTTTAGGTATCGCGGTCCCTGGATTGTCAAACCGAAAGCCAGTTCCCGCGGACGTGGCATTTATATCGTTAACAGTGTGAGCATAATAATTTCTAGTGTATAAGTTCCGAATATACAGTGGACTCTAACTATATTGCCATGCTGTACATTATTCGTTATTGATACATTTTGGATGAACTTCGTTGTAGCTTCATTTCGAATGGAAAAGAAAAAAACCGTAAATTGTGTCCCCTATCAGGACCTTTAGTAGACTTTGTACGCGTACTCAGACGATCCTCGTCGATCTCTTAAGTACTTCGCTACTTTACGTGTTAACGCGAAAAACTGTGTACAAACAGACGTCTGTCTCGTATCGAGACCCAAGCAACGAAGTCAGAGTCCCTGTTCGTATTTACAATTAATTTGAACGATTAAGTAAGATCATGGTATTAAAATGTTCCGGTTGCAGCCCGAGAAAATCCTCACGGACGAATCCGTGATCGTCGCGCAATATATAAACAATCCTTTGTTGGTCGACGGCCACAAATGCGATCTGCGGCTTTACGTAGCCGTGACGAACTACGATCCGTTGTTGATCTACCTATACGAGGAGGGTTTGGTTCGGTTCGCCACGGTGAAGTACGACGGTGGCAACCAGTACGTCTGGAATCCCTGTATGCATCTCTGCAATTACAGCATCAACAAATTCCACGTGGATTACGTAAAGTAAGGATCGATCGTTCGTTACCTTCTTCAGACCCCTCGTCGATTTGTCATTCCATTTATATTTCGAATTGTCCAGAAGCGAAGATCCAGACGCGGAGGATGTGGGCCACAAATGGACACTGTCGGCGTTGCTGAGGCATTTACGCTCTATGGGACAGGACACGGAGTTGCTGATGCAACGAATCGAAGATATTATAATAAAATCGATCCTAGCGACCGCCTCTGGGATCGTCAGCGGCATCAAACAGTTCGTCAAACATCCGGAGACTTGCTTCGGTAATTACCGCTGACTCGATTGATATTTTCATCGTTGAATAAGATCCTGGAAACTTTCGATTCGAATTTGAAACATATCAGTGCCGAAACTTTTGGCTGTCCCGATAATCTTGATGTCTGTTTTTAGAGTTATTCGGTTTCGATGTTCTAATCGACGACACGCTAAAACCATGGCTACTGGAGGTGAATCTAACGCCGTCGTTGGGATGCGATTCGCCGCTCGATGTTAGATTGAAATCAGCCTTAATAGCCGATCTGCTTACCCTTGTCGGTATACCAGCGGTGGATCCAGTGTCGCGGCCCCAAACGACCCACCTGAATAGATCCACGGTCATTTCGACTAAACGAACAGTTAGTGTATGTTATTTTCTCGTCATTTTACACGGTTGCACAACAGCGACTCGTGCAGGTTAGCATTTTATCCGATTCCAGTGTAGAAGGGTACATTCGGCCGAGGCTTTGTCCCAGAGAAAGAAGAACGTTAGCAAAAGCAATATCAATAAATCGGGATTAACATCGGAGCAACAGCGTATAGTCGTGTCGGCGAAAGCGCAATTCGAACGAAGAGGAGGGTTCGTTCGTATATTTCCTAGCCCCAAGTCGTGGGAAATGTATTCGCAATATTTAGGTATACAAGAACTGTCGTTTCATCGTGCATTCCTCGCGTATTATATTTCATCCGTAACTTACAGCGAAATATTATCTGATATTTTCAGATCCAGCAACTGGGATACCGGTCGTTTCGGATCCATTAGGACCAGGCAGAGCCCAGCACGTTAACACGAATCACAATCTGATGTTGCACGAACAATTATTCCCCGCGGCCAGTCGTACTACCGGTTTCATTATTCCTGAAGTGACTCTGGACAGACTCTCTAGGTACATTAGCGAAAAATCTTGTGAAATTCCATGGCTGTTTTTAAAGTACGATCGGGGATCTCGTTACAGATACGAACGGTACGAGAGAGCGTTGGTGAAAGGCCACAAACAGAGCTTAGATCGCGGTGACAGTAAAGAAAATATGGATATTGACAAGCATAAATATAAAAGTCAGGTAGTACAGTCCATGCACGATGGAAATAAACTTAGGTAGGTTATTGAACAATCGATACATTTACCTAAGAAATAAATCTCTGGTTATCGCGTAATGTATATATATTTTTTTTCTTTCAGCCCTGGAGAAGCTAGAAAAGCTTTCGGTTTATATTTAGGGCACATATTGCGTAAGATATCGCAGCCAAACGCAGATCCAGCGTGTTGCGATCTCGTGATGAAATTTCTTCAGCAGTCGGCCAGTAATTTGAGAACACCTTTCTTCTTTACGGTATGTCGTACGAAACATCTCTTCAAGTACAATAACTTCTAATTTACACGTTTTTTCGCGCAGTTACCAAGCAGTAAACTTGGCGACAAAGATCGAGCCGCTATTACCGCGAAACAGCTCTCAGACTTTTTGCATCTGTACAATCGAGAAACGGATCTCTATTCGGATACAGTGGATCGTCCTCGTACCGTTCCGAATCGACTGTTTCAGAAGTTTCTGGCCGCTGCAAAGTAAGACTACAATCTAAGCTTTTTCGATATCACGATTTTAATCGCGTCATATTTCTAATTCGATCGTTAAATTGTGAAACAGTGAAGAAGACTTGGACGATATACTGATTCTTCAAACGAGGCTGTACAAATGCGCTCATAGTTTCCTGGGCAGAAGCGGATTTGCAGGTAGTTTACCAGGTCCTAACTTATTAGGCTCTCTGCCACACATTACATCTCGCGTGTATTCAAACGCCGCTACTAGCGAGCAATGTAAATGCAATCAGTCCATTACAAGGCCTACGAAAGCCCCGCGCACATAGCCGTGCAGTCTACGAACATACGGAATAGCCGTTACATTTGCTCGTTAGAATATTTAAACACGGCTGCCTAGGACTTCCCAGTACCAGTGGACAATCATCCACGCGTTATCTTAACGTTTCCCATCTGAATATTGCACAGAAAAACCGTCATAGAACTAATATTTTGGGTACGCTTTCGGGAGCGCTTTAATATTTGCTTATATTTATTAAGCTAGAAGGAGTTCACTACAGACTACTTCCAACGAACAACGTCGAACTTTCATGGTGAAGTTTACACTACGATTTTATCTTGAAACTAGTCTTCAGCATCAAAGATTCGTCGAAGCTAGATAGAAGTATATCTCGAAGTTACGAGATGTTTTGGTCATTAGGTTTCTTCGAGTTTTATCGTATGAACACTGGTGGCCAATGAAAATTGAAACAGTCGTAGGGTAAAGCAAGATATATATTAAATAACTAACGTATCAATTATTACACTTTGACGAAAACGCGTTCTATCGACCTACTTGACAGGCGATCAATATTTACTTCTTAGAACTTCATTGTATCTAAAAGAATTCTCTCGATCGTCGTTTTAAACACAACACTTAGTTTGTTTTCTTTTGCAGATAAAATATGTTCTTCTTTTACACTGTTCAGTAGAGTGTGTAGTCTTGTTCACGTACTTATCAATTAATTTTCCTGTAGTTAAGCTTCACCTAATTTCATAGCTAAATTAGTATTAATAACTCGTATTTAATAGTTTTATTATTCATGTTCCTAATTAAGCTATATCTTTGTTCAGTCGAAGCGAGCAGTTTTGTTTGAGGTAAAGTTTTGTTGAACATCTTTCCTTTCTAGTCAACTTAAAGGACAAAGGCAGACAAACTTAGCGTGTTCTAATTTTGTTTTTACGATTATTTGTTGCTCGTTCAAGTGATATATAACAATTATTTAATAACAGTTCGTCTGAGACATTGAATTCGTCCATGAAGGATATAGTAGTTAGGCATTAAGGTATAGATGCTAAAAGGATTTACACACGAACATCCAACGAATTGAATTATTGTGAGCAAGCTGTAGTGATGTTAAATCAAACTAAGAATTGCTCGAGATCAATTTTTTCAAGTGCAATAAGAGTGAGAAGTGGATAAGGAAGTGGAACAAAATTGTTCTAAAATACGAATAGTACTTTGTATAGTAATAATGATACATCTGCTCGCACAATGATATTTACGTTGTGGTACAGTGACACGTGAAGACACTCGATGATGTTAAGTTACACCGTGCATTGAGGAACATTTGTCGGTATGGTTGGCAGGTTCCAATCCACCATTAGCATAAAATTACCATAGATCGTATCCATCCATATAATGCCGTCAGTTTTTACCAACAAGGACTTGCAGCTTCTACTTCCAAAAAAATATTTCAGTCGTGTTTCACGGGCTTTCTAAACATTATACGCGATCGAAAGAGTTGTATTTTTCCATTTTTCGTTACTTAAGTCGAATTCGGATCATTTATGAACATGAAATCCAACTCATTTGCTGTGATACAAATTCATGCGTCGACATGAATATTATTGTATTAAACGTAATATCTTGCATCATCATTGTTCAATATATTTACATGTTGGTCGCAGTGAGTTGATCTCACACGAAACGAATATAAACGGTTCTAACCTTATCCTTTGCTAGGCACAAAGAGATACTTACATTTATTGAAGCATGAATGAATATTGTTATTAACATTATTGTAATTGATAACGTGAAACGTTGAAATCAGTTCAATATGGCACTACTAATACTTTTCTCTGTCATAGATCTACACCCAAAAATTATACAACGAGTAGGTTTAAAAGTATGGTACTAAATACGTATTGATCAAGTGTACATTATTTCATCACATTCAATGTTATTTTTTTTTTTATTTTTAATAATATATATATTATTTATGGTATAGTTAAAGTATTATTTCGTACGAGATGAAGTAATATATATTTGTTTGGATAAAAGATACAAGTACTTCGTAGAATATTGTCTGCATTCGTACACTTCATACATTATGTTTAATTGCTCGACTTTGCATCATCAACTATATAGTTTCACAATGCATACGATATTTATTTAAAACAACAAGCATATCGGTTCCATCTCGTGATTTGCGTCCATTATAGATGTGTAAGAGCTTGACGTCTTAAATTAAGATGATCACGCGTAAAGTACATACTGCCATTATTTTATAAACATATCGTTTCTTTACTATCCTAATATATTTTTTATATCCCAAACAAGTTTATTTAAAAGGTAGACACTTTGAGTAACGGAGTCGTGTGAGGTACTGTGAGAATGCACAAAACCATATTTATTATTTATGATTATTATTTCATGAAAAGAAATATCACAATATAATTTCACAGTGTTAATTTCTCAATACGCTAACGGCACATGTGATTATATTACTTAAAAGAAATTGCATTTTGAAGTTACTTATTGTTAAATAGCTTCCTGCGATTTTTTATCCGTTGAATAACATGGGTCCATATTTTATTTATACAAATATTGTGCAGCCGGTATTCCGAATGAATGGCATAAGTGTGACGATGCAAATTCGGCGAAGTCGAGTGTATATTAGTGAAAAGTATGATGCTTATTTGAATGTGGACCACGCGTAGGTAACTAAAAATTGTCTAAATTGCGAGACCGGTAGAGGATTAATAACTAACGCTTGTTATGTTTAAACGGACTCAGGAAGGCATGAGATTTTATATAGCTTTTAATATACTCGAAATGTGAAATTATCTGTATGTTACATTATTATTGTGCTTAAGTATTTGCAGCTTGTTAAGCGACAAGCCTTCTGTAATGGTGTATTTTTCTGACGCGAGCTCTCTATTGTGTTCTCATGGAAAATATGCGCGTAAATTGATGCCCAACAATGAAGTTTGCTTTGTCGTCTTTATGCAGTAAGTTATACATTCATTTTAAACGCTACTGCCTGTGAAACATTGCAGATCATCTTGGTATAATCGATGATTTCAGTGTATCGATATTTTTCAGTCTGTTTCCTGACAGCAGTTAGTTTCGCGAATTTATCGAGTTAAACGCGCAATGTAAAGGAAGAAAATTTGAAAATACTCGATCGCAGGGAAACGTTGAATCGAAATGATAGGCGAAATTATCCGAGACGATGTACATACATAAAAACAAAAACAAAAGAAATTGTTAATACATACCTCTGTGTTGCGTACGCGACACTCCCTTCCTACCTGTGATTTGTAAAACTTACTAGTCAGCTTACTGCATTTATTATAAATAAAATAACTGCTATGTACAACTATTTTATTATAATCGAATATAAATAATTAAAATCGTTACTCGGAAATTTGACAACTGTATCGAGACGAGCGAATAAACATTGCGGCCAAAAAAATGTCAGTTACGTAAAATTTATGGCTACTAGCATCTGTCGTTTCGCCAGTTGTTATAGGGCCGAGTATTGAGCAGCCTTCTTAGATCTTCGAATATTTAAATGATATTAAAAGGCATCGACTGTATGTATCTACAAGCATACGTATTTTCGCATTATAAAATTATCTTCAAATTAAAGTACTCGAAGTAAAATATAATAAACTTGAATTCCAAGACCATTTCCTTCTAAAACTTCCTTCATATTAGTCTAGTGTCTGAGAGTGCTAACTAAGAGCTCTTTACATTTCCTTACTTACATTGTTCAATAGAAGTAATTCTACTATCCACAAATATTCAGTTTCTGCCAATTCTACTAACCACCAACATTCAGTTTCCGCCAATTCTACTAACCACCAACATTTTGTTTCCGAGAATTCTACTAACCACCAACATTTTGTTTCCGCGAATTCTACTAACCACCAACATTCAGTTTCCGCGAATTCTACTAACCGCCAACATTAAGTTTCCGACAATTCTACTAACCGCCAACATTAAGTTTCCGACAATTCTACTAACCACCAACATTCAGTTTCTGCCAATTCTACTAACCACCAACATTCAGTTTCTGCCAATTCTACTAACCACCAATATTAAGTTTCCGACAATTCTACTAACCACCATCATTTTGTTTCCGCGAATTCTACTAACCACCAATAGTAAGTTTCCGACAATTCTACTAACCACCAACATTCAGTTTCCGGCAATTCTACTAACCACCAACATTCAGTTTCTGCCAATTCTACTAACCACCAACATTTTGTTTCCGCGAATTCTACTAACCACCAACATTTTGTTTCCGCGAATTCTACTAACCGCCAACATTAAGTTTTCGCGAATTCTACTAACCACCAATATTAAGTTTCCGACAATTCTACTAACCACCAATATTCAGTTTCCGGCAATTCTACTAACCACCAACATTCAGTTTCTGCCAATTCTACTAACCACCAACTTTCAGTTTCCACAATTTTAAGGGCCCCGTGCGTTGAAGCGTGGGGTCATAAAACCCCCGTTGGAGGCGCCTGGGACTCCGCATGGGGTGTGCGTGGGGTCACAGAACCCCGGAGGAGGTGCCAGGGACCCCGGTTGGTGTGAACGTGGGGTCATAGAAACCCCACAGGTGGCGCCAGAGACCCTGTGTGTTGGAGCGCGGGGTCATAGAACCCCAGAGTTAGCGCCAGAGTCCCATTGTAGAGAGACCGTGGGGTCATGGAACCCCCGGTGGAGACGCCTGCGACTCCGCATGGGGAGAGCGGGGGGTCACAGAACCCCCGAAGGAGGGCGCCAGAGACCCTGTGTGGTAAGAGTGTGGGGTCATAAAACCCCCGGTGGTGGTGCCAGAGACCCCGCGTGGTGAGAGCGTGGGGTCATAGAACCCCGGTGGAGGCGCCAGCGACCCCGTGTGTGTGAGGCTTCAATAACACAGGTTTCCAAAAACGTGGTGATCGATGGTTGATGGCTTCCTGATGTGTCGCGATCGACGTCTCACAAACTTCTGCCCCTCAGCACGTCAGGTAGCCGTATTTATGCCCGGCGCCTTCCCCCGTGCGACTTAATAAAAGGAAAATCCCGACTTTCGACGGACGGTCCGCTCGACGCGATGCTTCTTTAACGTCGATTTGATAATTAACTCTGACATATTCTTAAAGTTCATAGCGTTACCTTGAGTGAGACTCGGTTGTTTGATTTCATTGTCAATTTTATTGAAACACTCTTTAGGGTACACAAGCTATCCTAGATAAGCATTAAGGGAAGTATAAAAAAAAAAAACACCGAACAACTGCGTACGGAATCACAAAATGGATGTCTCTGCATCTCCATACGATCCACAAAACGTATCAACGCGCTTTACTCGAAGGCACAACGATCCTCGACCCTTACGTATCGAGCATTTCGCCATGAAAACCACGAGAGCCATCATCGAGTGTGGTGAAACGACGCGACAGCGTGGACAATGTTCACGCGATCCAATGCCCTTGCGAAGAATGAACTCTTAACCGGGAGAAAAAAAAACGGAGTGTACATTTGTGGTCGGGACACGACAAGGTATATATAATGTGTGTGTGTGTCTGTGTGTATGTGTGCTTACGTGGATTCTATTACGGTGAAAATAGAAACACTGTCGGGCGTATTCGATCTTTGTTCTCCTGGCAAAATCTCGGCGAACGTCGACATACGGAATACTCGTTCCATCGACCCACCCTCCCCCCCCCAACAAAAAAAACGAACGACTATAGCGCACAGAGTTCCGTCGTAAAGGGGACCGAGTGCCTTCCGCCACAAGAATCAATGGACGCAAAAAAAAAAAGAAGAAAAAAGTAGAATGTTTACCATGAGAATCAAGAGAGAATAATCTACACCTCTTTAACGGTTACACCTAGAAACTTATGTTACAGAACAGTAAGAGCTAGTACGTCATACGGATTACAAACGTGGTGGTCTCCGCAACGTGGAACACACACACACAATTTCTCTCTCTCTCTCTCTCTCTCTCTCTTTCACGGTTCCACGTTTCCTCCATCGCTCCAAGGCGCGATCTTGGCGGATCTTATAAAAGTATATAAATGCACGAATCTATTCCTCGTCATCGCCGTCTCGAAGTCTTTTACACGCCATCGACAGAGAGTCTCTTTTTATTTTTTTTGTTTTGTTTTCTCTTGAATCAAGCGCGGACAGGAGACGATTACGAATGGGATGTGAACGATATTGTGAGAAATCTTAACCTACCTTACACGGTAACGCTTAGCTATTTTAACCTTAAATAATAATCACAAAATGCGAGACCAAGGTCCAGAGCGCGACGTTTGGGCCGGGGACCATTAACCGACAGGCGGTCTCGATACCTGACTTCCGATAGAGAAAAACAAAAAAAAGAACAAAAAACGGTTCGTTAAGCAAACGACACCTTTTACACGGGAATGTATTCGGGGTGTCAGAGGCCATTTCGTCGTTTCTGGAGTCGTCGCCGGGGGATAGACAGCGAATGTGCGCTGGATAACGCTTTGAATCGTAAATCTTGACCTCCTCGTCACTCACAACGGACAAGCCTGTATCCCCCTCCCTCTTCCCTTACGCGTTCGGCTTGAATCACGAACGGATTCGTTTGGGATCTTAATATAACGGCGGCAAATAATCGTTACGTAATCGATAAGACTAAACAATCGATCGATCGAAGCTCCTCAGCGCTGTCAACGTGTCGAATATCGGTTCAAAGACTCGAAAGATTATGTACGGGCTGTCCCATCTAACGTGATCGCCTTTAGCGTCACACCTGTTTTTGAAGATAGAAAGAAGTGTCGGAGAATAGAAGTGATAAAAGGAGAACATTGTTCCTATTTAAAAAAGAAACATCGCTGACCTTCGAAACGTCGAAAAACCTTGATAAAAATTATTTGCTTGTCACGGTATTTGTCTACTACCGACCGAATAGTATTCTCATCTCATATTTCATTCTATCATCAGAAAGCAAGTGCGATATTTATGGTGCTCGCGTTAAATGGGACACCCCGTGTATGTATGCATATACACTAACGGCCAAAAGTATGGGACCAAAGTTCACGATTGATAGAAAAATAGCTCATTATTCTACTACGATAACAAGAAAAGTTACGGAATCGGTATACACGCAAGCCATTTCCAATCAGTTTCAGCCAAGGCTTGAAACGATTCCGAAAATAACTGTTTCAAACTCTTATATAAAAGTTCCGATTGAAAGAGTTATGAAGAAATTTTATTCCGAACAACTGTTTCAACAACCTAAACCGAAATCATAACAGTTTTCAAGCCCTGGTTTCGGCACATTACATCGTACCTTTGTAAAATAATATTTCCCTCTTTTCTTAATTATCATACCCGGTCCCAATATTTTTCGGCCCGCTAGTGTATACACTATTTTCATCCAGGAAGTCGACGACCGTTCGCAAAAATCTTTCGCTGTCCGAACCGTCGAAGTAAACGGGAATACAATGAAACTGAAATAGAGGGCCCCTAAAACGTTAACAAACGATACAAGACACTCCGATACTGGAATAATGATGAAACCTTACGTACATGATTAGTCTTAAAAGAAGTAACGTAAAACAGTAAAGTGTAAAAGTATGACTTAAGTACAACCACAAAAAACGTTGGTCATTATTATGGCATTCGTATCCTTAACTTACACGCCTCCCCTTAGTACAGATTTAAACTAAACGGCGCGCTTTCAGCGTTTCGAGTCTCTATCTGCTAAAACGGGGCCGGACGATCCCCGGTGGATGATCTCTCGGCGAGAATCGATCTATTCTCCTCGTTCGATCGAATTTTCACGTTACTTTACTCCTCTACCGTGATCTATGAAGTCTTTTCTCGCGTGGAATCTCGTCGATCTACGGGATCACTTATCGAGCCTCTACGTTTTTATCGGTAATCCAAAACCTTTCGCAACGATCGGTTGTTTCTCGTTCGACCTATTCTAACGCAGACTGGATTAATAATTGATTTTCATAAGCTCTGGTAACAGCTACGAAGTCAGATTTCACGAAAAATTCATTTTTTGTTTGTCACCAAAAAATTGACCTATTAACTCTATTTCGGACGGTCATAAATACACTGCGGATTTTATGCATTTATAGTATAAGGGCTCTGTGAAATACACTAAAAGACAAAACTTTACTCGGATTTCAACGAATTTTCTATTTTAGTCCGAATCCAATAAGATACTTCGGAAAAAACAGAAGTTCCTATATTTGTTCTTGTCTGTGCGAATTTCTTATGTAAAATGTCATTTTGACTTAATAGAGAATTCAAAATCATGCTTCGATTTTTCTTTTCAAACGGTTCACGATGAAAAATGCACGTTTCCGGTTCAGTTCTGGAGACCTGAGAGGTACAGTGTGTATCTTTAATACGGAACAAACTGCTTCTTAATCTCATTGTACAATCATTCTTTCGATCTTTAGTGATTCTGTTCGTAGCTGCGAGGGCGCTTCCTACAATCGAAATCTTATCGAATTTTCGAAACGCAACGCGATGGTCCCAGGGAGAAAATGTTCGATCGCCTGGTACGATTCATTCGTTTCGTCCGAAACGGTCAAGTTCTCGAATCGTCGTTCGCTGAACCGACGATCAACAACATCACAGAAGGCACGCAGTGTATATCTGTTTTCTCTCGTTCTTCGTCTTCTCTTTCTATTTGTTCGCGGTGTCGCGATATTTCGATCGGTGATCGGGGCGAGCTAAGCTCAACGTTTCTATTTCTAATCACGTCCCGATTTCTGCTCAGTACGTATATTTTTGTATTTAATGTAAAAGGTTAAATAATAAATTAGTTATATAAATACTAAACGGAATGCTGCGTTTTTACTAAAAATAAAACTTACGGAATCATTAATTATTGTTAAGCAAACTTTAGTTTTGGCACTTCGATTTTCGCTGAGCAGAAATAGGGACATTTTATACTTCGTATTAAATTAACTATGATTAAGTTTTTTTTTGCAGATTGTTGGATACAAAAATAATAAAAATCATTTTCTGCGACAGCAGAACTCTTAAATGATTAGAAATAGGGACATTGACCTTATATCAGTTCGTAACGGCTGTGTCGCGGCTGCGATTAATTAATTTTAAAGGGACGATCGGTGGGATCGTCGACGGATTCCTTGAGCTCTTTTTGATTGAGTCGAAGACATCGGAGATCCATGGCGTCGCCATCCGGACCGCTCTGTGCCTTCTTCAGCCCTTCGTCGTTTCGAATCTGAAAGAATACATTCGTCGATTAACCGGACAGTACTGATAGAACAGAGATTTGCTCATCTTTGCAATGGTCAGGCAGAGATCCGCAATCGAGGAAAAGGGGAAGCAACCGATCGCGCGGGGGCCAGAGACGATCGTACGAAGCTCTTGCTTCCAGGGCGGCCTTGGATAATCGGCCCTTGGAGGCGCACCAATAATTTGACGTAATTTAATAAACGCGACCCTGACTCCGCGTATCATTACCGACAGTTTGATCGTATCTCGGCCAGTGCGTAATCACGATGATGCACCTAGTCACTCCGCGCAAGCGTAACAACGGTTCGTTCGCCAGCTCGATCATCGGTCATGCAAATTGCCGATGCAGAACGTCCAGGCAGCAGACCTATCCTCCCGATACCGATGCTCACATTCCGTACGTGGGAAACAGTATCGAACAGCCAGGAACCGAGCTACGCGAATAATAATCGAATCGTTGGTTGTCTGGGTGCGACGACTCGCGGAGGGAAAAACAACGGAGAAGATATTTCGTGTAATTTTTGTCCGTGGTTATCGAGTGACTATGAGGCGAATGTTGAATGATCTAACGATTATATTAATTGTATTTTATTTTGATAGTCGAACGTCGATTATAGTATGGTGACAGAAGGATTAAATGACTAGTATCGATAGGAATAAAAAAATGTACTTTTTAATGCAGTCGAATGGGGAAAAAAGTGGCGTAGAACAAAAGTCTCCTAGTAGTTACTAAATTTATTTCAAGCACGGAAATAAATGTTAAATCAAATGTTAATTTAGCATAAGTATCAGTAACTCCCGAAACTAAACGGTAGGAGGCCCTTCGCCTATCTCACACTTTCCCCTAACGGAAGGGCCTCACACCGCTTGATAAATTTATTTCAAGTACTGAAATAAATGTTAAATCGAATGTTAATTTGACATAAATTTTGGTAACTCTAACTGGTGAGAATAACACCGTTGCTCGTGTCGCATATACCGATGGCATCACTGTAGATTGTAGTTCTGATTTAGGGGGTGAGATAACTGGGAGATGGGAGAAAGGTAATCATTAGACGAACGGTTAACGAAGTGGATAAAGGGGACAGAGGGACGTGCAAGGATGGGAAAATCGAAAGAAACAGGGGAGACACGTTTCGGAATCATGTTCTCCCGTTCCTCCTGGCACGGTGACCAACGCGACACGCCTCCCACGATGACGTTTCCACCTTCCCCGTTACCTCCAGCAACCCCTGTTTCCAGCCACGAGCTCGCAGTTAACCCCTTGCCCTATAATTTTCTTCACGTTTCCAGTCTCCCCCAGGTTGCGTCGATAGTTTTCCAGAAACAAAAGGAATTCTGTGCTTATCGCAACTGTGTACTTTTACTGTAAATGTTAAATATTAATACCAGCAACGTGGTACTTCACTTCGACTCTAAGAAAACCGAATAATATTCTTCTTCGTTGAATCGATTTTCATATCGTCGATGAGTTAAAGAGTTTACGTCTCTTCATGACGAGTATACTTAATCCATCGTCCCTTCGCGCCACAATTCGATTTTCCACTTAAATTTCCAACCTCCCTCTCATTCGGTTTTTCGAGTAGGTTTTTCTCCTCGTTAATTTATTCCTTCCCGTTCCCATCATCGTTCTCGAGCTTCTTGTTCGTTCGAAAACGCGAAGATAAAACAGACCGTAGACGACAAAACGGGTGGAACGAGGGTTGGCGAGGATCGTAGATCCAGGAACTTAAAAAATCCTTTCGAACGATCGAAGCTCCATTTTCAATCACCTGGTATTTAATTGCTGTGAACGCTGAACATATTCACCGGCCAGGGGGCCTCGAACAACAAGTTCATTCGACAAATTGAAACGATAAATCACGAGGGGAGGAGGTGCGTGATGTACGAACGATCCAATACGAGCCGTACGATTTCCAATGGATCATCGGACAAGAGTGTTTAATAAAGTGCTACGTCGATGTTCGTGAGATTTTTCTCGTTTCTTAATTTTTTTTTTATCGAAAATAAAGACTCGGTTCGAGTGAAAAGACGCGGTTTCGAGGTCGACATTGGCAACAGTCATCGGACGACGCCCGTCGATAAATCTCAAAGCGAACCCGCCCCAAATGCCCGTCCCGCGTCGGTCATATTTGCAAATTATTTATCACTACCCAGGATAAGCGGTAATTACGTGGGTCCCGATGAAATATTTCATCCGATCGTAATTGTGTAAAATCCATCGTGCCGAACAACAACGGCCGCGACGGCCTTGGCGTCGATTATTAATAATCGGCGGGCATCGATCGTATTTCCTCGACGGAGGATCGAAGGAAGGGGGCGGAATGGAATTTAAAGCGTTGTATCGGTTAATGAAATTTTTCCTGCCACTCGATTTTCCTCGTACGAACCACGGATAAACTTCCGAAAAGCACCCACACTCGGTGACCTTGACGTACGTTATCAAGGTTACCCTTCGGAGTAACGTTTGAAAGGTTCAAACGGCCGATCATTGGTTACTAAAAAGTTACTAACGTCATTAAGTCAATGGAAACGAGCGTCCAAAGATACGCCCGGTATTTTTTCGAAAGTATCGAATACCTTTTCATCGCGACGATAAAAATGGCGGCGTTCGCGAGCGCTGGCACAGATGGTCCCAGCCATACGTCGCGAACAAAAACCGTTCTGGCGGTGGTTCTGCACCCGGGTGGATTCGCGCAATGGCTGTGCATACGTTTATTCTGTTATTTTTCTTTTTCGGAGACAATGTTGCCGCCGCCTGGATCGTCGCGTGTTTGCCGCGGCGCCATTTGCCGTTGGAACATCCTCTTTGCTCGGAACAACCCGGACACGAAAGGGTCTGGCGATCTTTGGGGGATGAAAAATACCGGAAGCAACGATGCTGAAGATTTAAAACAGAAATAGCAGCGAGAAGACATTTCATTTAATTGTCCAATACACGTGTGTGATTTGGGTGAAAATGAAAATATATATTGTGACCTTGATAAGTAAACCTGGTAACTCCAGTTTTGGGCCAATGCAGTTTCAGTGTCACTCAAAATAAATACATATTCCAAAATAATTTCGCGAGTTAAAAAGGCTGACATATTTTCTGCAGTTTAATAAAAGTTAAATTAATTCTGCACTGTTTTATTGCTCTCCTGTAAAGTTCCGTCGAATAGGGTTACGAGGTTTTGCTTGTTAAGGTCACGATATTTGACACGACGTTATTTTCATCTCATCTTGGCCAATATTTATCAATATCAATATTATTTAGGGGATTAATGGAAGAGGGGCACATGCCACAATATAAATTCTACATGACAAGTACATTTCTAGGAAAAATAAGGGTAGAGTTTATTGCTGGTAAAAAATAATAAAAACCGACACAGATAAGGCATATGCCACTTTTCCACTGTGCCTCTCCATTCTGGACATCTTTTTACGGATGTATTAATGATTTTTATGAAATATAACAAGTGTTCCCAGTATCGAGGCTGTTCAATGGTGACTCTGCGCCACTGCGGGGTGAGACCGACCGACGAGGAGGAACAAAGCGTCCCACACGTCGCATGGTATCATCGATACCGGTAATATTCATACACGGTAAGGGCACCACGGCACTGGGACAATAGTGAGAGCGTATTTTTACGTTGGCTCGACTGCGTATGTATCTCTCTGTGGCCACGCGTCGACATTAACAGCCAATAAAGGACTTCCTTTACGAAGCTCGCGAGACATCGTGGCTGCGGTGCCGGCGGCTGGGACCGAAATGGGTCATTAAAACACACTTGTCGACGAATAGAAGCAACAGTGAAGACACCAATAACGCTATACTGACACGTGGAACGAATTATCGACAACAAAGAAACGAAAAGAAAGAACAAAAGTCATCGAAGAACCTTATCGTCCATTTATAAAACGTTTCCCACAGGGCTCGATCCTCCTAGATCTCATCTTTCCCTCTTCAGGAAGACCGAAGAATTAGGAGGCATGCGTAAAATCTCGTCAAAATTGACGAAAAAGAAGCTGGGGACTGAAATGGGGATTTCGTTGAAACACTTATATCTCGACAAATAGAAGCAACGGTGGAACCATATTGACATTTGTAGGAGGAATCTTCAACAGGAAATAAATAAATGAAAGGACAAATGTCTTCGAAACTCAAAATCTCTTCGACTATTAATATACCTTCGATTACTAAATCCCATCTTCCTTCATTCAGGAAGACCCAAGAATTAGGAGGCACGCGTGAAACCTCGCCAAAAATATATTAAATTTCTTCCGTCAGGGCTCCTCTATCCTCCTCAATCTCGTCTTTCTCGGCTCGAGAAGCCCATGAATTAGGAGGCACGCGCGAATTCTCGTCGAAATAGAGGAAAGGAAGCCCCCCCCCCCTGCCGCCCATCGCACAGGGCACTGCCACTTCGTTTGCCGGCCGCGTCACGCTCGTTTGCGCTAGTTTACGCCCGTTTACACAAGTAATATTATGTTGGGGGGAGGGGGGCGATCTTTACGGGCCAGCGGACGTTTCAACGTGATTGGCGAGGCGGAGGTAACCGGACAGTTGGGGGGGGGTGGGCAGGGAGGCAAGAAGAAAGTTCCAAGCGAGTGGCAACGGGTCCCAAAGCGAAGTGTATTTTCTTTGAGACGATCCTGGGCGTAAGATATGACGTCCGACTGGCTGCCAGGCTTGAAGGGCTTCGCAAACGATCGGTCGTTGAACCGCGAATCGCATCTTGAAACGCTATTCCTAGCGACGGGGTAATAGAAATCGGCTCCAAGATGTGCAAATTTAACTGGTTAGGTCCCCGCTATTTTATTTTTTTTTTTACTTTTTATGCTAACCGATGGTATAACTGTCCCAGATAGCAGATGACGCCTTGAAGACGGCTTAAAGACGACTCGGACGTAAAACAGCCGTAAAATGGGCGTCTTCGAGGCGTCATGGGTGTAGACCGTTCTCGTGGGCATTTGTGGGAAATTTTCCGTCGCTTTGAAGTAACT